CAAGCAAAGCTATCTGTAACCATTGGCTTTTTTCCCTTTTTTTCTTTTTCCTTTCTTTCTTTCTTTCTTTCTTTCTTTCTTTCTTTCTTTCTTTCTTTCTTTCTTTCTTTCTTTCTTTCTTTCTTTCTTTCTTTCTTTCTTTCTTTTTCTTTCTTTCTTTCTTTCTTTCTCTCTCTCCTCTTTCTTTCTCTCTCTCTTTCTTTCTTTCTTCTTTTTTTTTTGGTAAACAGTATTTCGTTTTCAATTACATGTGAAGATAGTTTTCAACATTGTTTTTTCTAAATAAGATTTTGAGTTTCATTTTTTTTCTTTTTCCCTTCTATCCTCTCTTCCCAAGATGACAAGCAATCTAAGTTATATGTGTGCAATCATGTAAATGTATTTTCACATTAGTTATGTTGTGAAAGAAGAAACAAAACAAAAGAGAAAAGCCATGCAGAAAATACTCCTTCAACTATTTTCCCAAATAGTTTATATAATATTGGAATTAATTGTTCTTTAAATATTTGGTAGGATTCACTTGTAAATCCATCACGCCCTGGAGATTTTTTCTTAGGGAGTTCATTGATGGCTTGTTCAAACTCTTTTCTAAAATTGGATTACTTAAATATTTTATTTTTTCTTTTGCTAATCTGGGCAATTTCTGTTTTTATAAATATTCATCCATTTCACTTAGATTGTCAGATTTATTGGCATACAGTTGGGCAAAATAGCTCCTCGTGATTGCCTTAATTTCCTCTTCATTGGTGGTAAATTCACCCTTTTCATATTTGATGCTGGTGATTTGGTTTTCATCTTTCTCTTTTTTAAATCAAACTAACCACAGGTTTATCTATTTTATTGTTTTTTTTTCATAAAGCCAACTCTTAGTTTTATTTATTAGTTCAATAATTTTCCTAATTTCAATTTAATTAATCTCTTCTTTGATTTTCAGAATTTCTGACTTAGTATTTAATTGGGGATTTTTAATTTGTTCTTTTTTATCTTTTTTTTTTGCAGTCCCAATTCATCGATCTCCTCTTTCTCTATTTTATTCATGTAAGCATTTAGAAATATAATATTTCCCATAAGAACTGCTATAAGTTCTTAAAAAACTTTTAAGTTTTGGTATGTTGTCTCATTATTGTTATTCTCTTTAAGTAAATTATTAATAATTTCTATGATTTGTTGTTTGACCCACTCATTCTTTAGGATTTGATTATTTAGTTTCCAATTAATTTTTAATCTATCTTTCCATGGCCCTTTATTACATGTAATTTTTATTGTATCATGATCTGAAAAGGATGCATTTGATATTTCTGCCTTTCTGCATTCAATTGTGAGGTTTTTATGCCCTAGTACATAGTCAGTTGTTGTGTAGGTGCCATGGACCACTGAGAAATAGGTACATTCCTATCTATCCCCAATCAATTTTCTCCTGAGGTCTATCATATCTAACTTTTCTAAAATTCTATTCACCTCTTAACTTCTTTTTTATTTATTTTGTGGTTAGATTTATCTAGTTTTGAGAGGGGGAGGTTGAGGTCCCCCACTAGTATAATTTTGCTGTCCATTTCACTTATTTCACTTTCACTTCCTGTAATTCACTTAACTCCTCCTCTAAGAATTTGGATGCCATTTGATGCTTATAAGTTTAGTAATAATATTACTTCATTGTCTATAATACCTTTTAGCAGGCTGTCCTTCCTTGTATCTTTTAATTAGATTTATTTTTGCTTTGTCTGAGATCATAATTGTTATTCCTGCCTTTTTTTTCCACTTCAGTCTAAGCATAATATATTCAGCTCCAGCCTTTTACCTTTACTCTGTGTGTCTTTCTGTTTTGGCATTTTTTTCAAAAAGATACTCCTTCTCCCCTCTCCCCCCCCATTATAGGTACAGTCTGAACCTCTTTCTAAACATAATTGCACCTGAATATGTGGTGAGGCTGTTATCACATATAATAATACATTTCAGCATTGTCATTAGAAGCATTTAATAAGTGACCATGAGAATGAAGCCAGCTATAAAGCCAAAAACAAAAAAAAAAAAACACCACCTAGGAATATTAGAATTGTCTTGGCTCACACTGGGTCTTGATCTAGTCCTAGAGACTGTCAGAGAGAGAGAGAGAGCATGAGAGAGACAGAGACAGAGAGAGAAGAAAGAGACAGTAGGTTCTATAAGAACAGGGTGATAGATTCTTAGGTTCCTGCTTCAATTCATTTATATTTACCATCTACAAGCTAATTAGCTTTGGGGTGGCCACGGTAAAAATACTATAGTAAAAATACTTTGTGAGAACAATTTAAAACTAAGTTCTGCCCAGTGGCCTTAGCTTTTTGAAAGTAGCTTTGTATTTCAGTTCTATTGGCAGCTTTTTCCTTGACTTAAAATCATTTATTTATGTATTTGTTCATTCTCTTAACTGTTTCATATTTCCCTTCTCTTATTTTGTTTCCTTTACTGTTTTCAGTTACATTTTTATTTAAAATTTCTCCCTCTTGGGGCAGCTAGGTGGCAAAGTGGATAGAGCACTGGCCCTGAAGTCAGGAGGACCTGAGTTCAAATCCAACCTCAGACCAAACACTTGACACTTACTAGCTGTGTGACCCTGGGCAAGTCACTTAATCCCAATGGCCTAACCAAAAACAAACAAAAGAAAATTCTCCCTTTTCCCCTTCCCTCCATTTTTTCCTATTTGCTAAGAGGATTTTTTTCTTTGTTCTCTTGCATACTTGAAGATTATAAATAGTATTATCTCATAAAATATAAAACAATTGAGAAAAATGGATGTAAAGAGAGCATTGCATGAGATCTCTTTTCCCTTTTCTCAGATTCTGATGCAAGCAATAGATGGGAAAATACATATGTGTATGTACACATATACATACACTATGTATATATAAAATTTGTTTTAAAGTTATAACCATTAAAAACTTATTAAAATTGAACTAATTTTTTTCTTTTTTTTAAAATTATCAATGTATGATTCCCATTTCACTGATCATACTTACAACTTTAATTATAAAGAAAAGATTCTGAGTTATTCCCCTTACTAATCTGATCAGCAAATGTTTGACAGATTCTTTCCCTCTGACCCGAAGAAAGTTTGGGATCCTATGGTATAGATTCATACATAGTTGAACTTCTTTAAGATGTTAGAGCTCTAGTTACCTGAAATACTCTAAAGCTTACTAAAACCTCATCTTGCAATATATAACTGTTGCCAGGAATTTTAATTTTTCATAAATGTACACTTGTTGCTAGCATCCAATTTTTGTTTTTCGCCGACTATAGTAATGTGTTGTCCTATCTATCTGGTCAAAAACAATCTGTGAAAAACCTTCAAAATAGAGAGATTCACAAAATATCAATGAAATACATCGTATTCTACATACAGACAGTCTTACCTTTGGCATTGGTTACCACAGCTTTTTGTTACTGGCACATCAGGTATTCCCTGAAAAGCCTGTATTTCCTCGTTATGGAGACAAGGCTAATGACGCCATCTCCAAAATTAGAACTCAGTGCAGTATGTTAATGAAAACATGCCTGAAATAGCAAAGACTGGTGCCAAGGGGTAAGGTGTGAGAAAAAACCCAGTAAGACAGAACACTTTTCGTTGCCTTCGTCTTGGTGTTTAGCTTGCAAAACAGGCAGTTGGACAAAAGAGAAAAACTGCATAGCTCAGATTAACTATTGGGTGATTTACCGCCTACCTTTTCCAAACTTCTAAGACAAGAATAAGCCATGGAAATACTTTGAGACTCTTTGTTCCTAGAAGCCTTTTCTTTTCAGCATAATAACTCAGGAAAGTCAAGTACTAAGGAAATAGTTTATGGGGAGGTAAAATGTACCATGATATTTAAAATCAGTTGTTTATTTAAATATTTAGTGTACAATATTAAGCCTTACCTTGGGCCTTTTGCTTCAATATTTGTACATTTTCCACATTACTGGTACTTATGTGGTAGAAGAGATTTTTAAAAAGCCATAGCTGCTCACGGCATAATGGCGTGATATGAAGTGATGCAGAAAACAAGAGATGCTTTGTCTCTAAGTCAGCTGCAAGGAGAAATGATGTGTATGAATGTACAGTATAGGGAGTTCAGTGAAAGATCTAGTCTCTTTCTCCAAAAGGACTCTGGTTGATGATACAAGGAGAATTCAGTTCTTTTTGGCAGATCTCCACATTAGCCTGGCTACTGTTTAAAAAAAAAAAGATGAAAAGAAAAAAAATAGTTGTAGCTCCACAGTTGGGTCATTTGAAGTGTTAGTTATACTTAAGAAATAATATGTGTTCTTTCCTTATTTTTGCATTATAATCATTATTAACATATAAATTCATACATACATATATATTATTTAGAAGAAACTGGCAGTAACAAGCATTTCAATGGCATTGTTCAGTTGCCATTTCGATACATTCAACATGCCTATTAATAAGAATGAGAATTAATTGTAGAGATGAGATCAACCATATGGGCAGTGCTTGTACTTGTTATGGGCACATTTTCATGCAAAGACTCCTGGAAGATCACCCTATTTTTCTTCAGTGAAGACCAATGCAGTAGATTACTTCAAATTATATCACCTCAATAAGGGCATCAGAATCCCCACAGATGATATAATTATGATTAAGACCAGCATTATTAAACAACTCACTTTTTTAATATGCAGAAATTAGGTCATTTTCCCACTCCTCCCACAAACATTCAATCTTAATATCTGACTAATGAAACAACATAAACAGTGTCATCCATCAGGTTCCTAACAGAGAATGCCAGTTATGACAGCCTCATTGTTTACTTTAGCAGGTAATTTGTGGACCGGAATCATTTAATTGTTCCGAGTACATAATTACATGCCAGCATTTTCCAATTTAATTAAAATGTACAAATCTGAAGATTAAGGGAATTTTTGAATTATTAATCATTTCTCCACTAGGAAATCTTGTTGCTCTGCAGGAGATTTGTCCAGTGTACAACTATATGTATTTTTTTGCTTCTTTTTCACAGACAGACAATTTTCCCGCAGAGCCCAATTACATGGGCAGCAGGCAGCAGTTTGTTCAAAGGTAAGGCCTATTAAATAACTTTCTCAGCTTCCCCATTTGCATTCTTGTCAAAATTGCTTTGCTCGACACTACACTTCAGATTGAAACTAGTCGAAACAACATTTTGTCGTCTTTTCTTATGTCGCATTACAGTAGCTCCACGTTCAAGGACCCAGAAAGAGCCAGCCTGAGAGACAGTGGGCATGGGGACAGTGATCAGGCTGACAGTGACCAAGACACTAACAAAGGTTCCTGCTGTGACATGTCTGTCAGGGAGGCACTGAAGATGAAAACTACTTCAACTAAAAGCCAACCACTTGAACAAGGTGAGTGAAGTCTCCCAATGCCTAGAAAATGAAAAAAAAGCTTAAGCAATCATTAGAAATCTGTTAGTTCGGCATTCACAGTTTATCACATGGGGGGAAGGACCCATTGATAACATATCAAAGTAAACAGTCAGTCTTGCAGTTGTCCCAGAAAAAAAAATATTTATTATTTCAGTAACAACACAATATGGGTCTCCAAGGTTCTTAGCCTTTTATCTTATTCAGAATTCTTCTTTAAAGCAACAACATTCAAGTAAAAAGTATGCAAGCCGTACCAAGTTGGGTACAACATGTGCCATGTTTCTGTTGAGGCAAACATGGAATGTACTAAATGCATATTTTATAATGTGTGTGCATGTATTTGTGCAATATAAACATGCATACATGTGACAAATTCTGTTAATACTGGCTGAATTTGATATTGCAAAAAACCAAAATCCACGTTGTATCAGAATTTCCTTGTCTGAAATATTTAACTATTTAAGAAATACAGCATATAGTAATGGCATAATCTGATGACCAATAAAACATCCATTTACAATTAACAGAAGTTTCTATAAACTCCATAAATTATGAATTAAAGTACATGCTGGACAAAGGTAATAATATTACTTTATTATAAATTATTATAAATGTTATTTTCTTTCTAAAAGAGTCAATGTCATTCATTTTCTTAAAATGATGTTATATTCATTTAAATAACTTTAATTTTTATAAGAACTAAACATTTGCCAAAAATGTCACCTAAATATAATTAAGCCATTAAGATTAATTAATGATGATTTGGGAGTATGTGGTTATGGTTTTCTTGTTTCACAGGGAAAAAAGGGAAAAGCATGGTTATGTTGTTCTGATTTAGACTTTGGAATTGCTAATGGTTGATATAAGATGTTATCTAGAAAGTGATTTTTAATAGTTAAGAATATTTTAAGTTGAGTCTTTAAGCTGAAGAGCAATATTTATTAATTGGTTATTAATTGGAATCAGATTTTTTAGAAGTGTTTGATTTGTAATCATAATAATAAGCAAATGTAACACTTTTTTCAAGTTGAAGTTCCTTTTTCTTTTTCTTTTTTATTTGCTGTGTAGAATATTTAGAATGCAGCAGTGAAATTATTCTGTATGATATAAGGGCTAATCTCACAAAAGAGGTTGTTTTCCAAGTAATAAGTACCAGAAATATTATTTTTTTCCTACCTCTTTACCACAGTGAGTCTAATTATAATTGGACATTGATCTGTATAAAGACGCAATGCCTCCCCCTCCCCCTTTAGAAATAATTTAAGTACTGAAAAGTTTTCTCAATTTCTTCATAGATGACTTAGAGTCACTAGCTGTTAATATGAAAAAAAGGCACATATTATGTGAGATGTAAGGCATTGCTCTAAATTAAATATATAGCTTCCATGGAAAAGGGTTAAATGCCTGTTTGACTCAGCATATGCAGCATGATATATATCTTCAGTGTTGACTTCAGGTACTATACATAAGCACATTTTGCCAAATATTCCTATTATGTGTGTTTGTAAAATTGAAAAACCAGTGAAAGGTTTGCATTCATCATCATATCTTGATTCATCAAAAAGCAGCTCATGCTATTTATTCACACGAATTTCTCTTTTTTTTTTCCTGATATATAAATTGAACTCTAGGTCTTAAGAGAGAGGAACTAGCAAATACCAGAAAAAAAAATCACTGTGGGAAGAGGGCAGAGGGTCTTTTCTGCCTGACAATGTAATTTTAGCATAGGAACTGAAATTCTGCTTTCAGCATTGATACGGAGATATAATGATGTATAGGCAGTTTATTGATTTTTTTCAAGACTCAAATGTGCAAAAACAAAGTCTACAGAATCAACTGAGGATGAAACGGACTTGGACATTGTTTTCCCTTTAAGAATAAAGGCATTCTTCTTTTATGAAAGAGAGAAAATATCAATAGAAATGGATCCTTTAAAACAAATAGTCATTTCAGGGCCTAACCTACAAATATGACAGAAAATTGTATAAATTGGAGTGCAGTGTGTGTGAGAAGTTCTCAAAATATAGTGCAATCAGAAAAGGAAACTTGCAAATAATTCTTAAGAGCCATTACTCAGAACACTTTGACTACATATGAAAAAATGAATGAATTTGTGTCATTACATGAACGTGCAAAATTGGAAAACATTTTAACAAATGGCTTTAAATATGTGCCACTGTCCACTGACCAGCATATTGAACCAAGTTGAATGACCAGGTTGAACACCTGGGGGGAAAAAAAAGCACAGTTCCTTCCACATAATAGTCAATTAATGCTCGTTAACTGATAAATGAGGTGCTGTCACACTTAATAATTGTCCTCTCTTTACATAAAATTATATGGTTGCATTATGTTGATTTATATGGCATTATGTAGTTCCCCAACAGGTATTTTAAAGGCAATAAGGACTACTTCTTAATAATTTTATATTTTAGCTATATTTTAATATTTTAATAATTTAAATAATATTTTAAAATGCTATTTTAATTATTTAACACTTTTGTATGTTAGTTGTTAAATAGGATATTATGTTGATGAATAAATGATGACATATTTAGAACCTACATGTATATCAGGAAGAATGGACCTAATTTAAAGCTACGCATTTTTATTCCTATTTTTAATCTTATAGGAATTAAGGTAAACTTCCTTGTATACATCAAGAAATCTTTGGCACTCCTCCCTATGTTATATTAGTATTTTAAACTTTTTAGTAGGGTCTCATTTTTTCCCTGTCTTTGAACTGGACCAGTGAGCTTATTATTCTTGATTAAATGTCATTATTTATAAATGATTCTTAAAATTCTACCTTGAACTTATTTATACATTTAGGGAAATGGTAAGATTTTCTTTAGCTTATATTAAATCTTGGAATCACTCTTCATGATGCTTGTTAAATTTTATACTAAAATAATGAATTTCTCTTGAAGTGGTCAATATCTAAAATGCCTGGAATTTCTATAGATAGGGTCTTGTCTTACAGGAGAAGTATCATTTATTTTGAATCTGTGTTATCTTTAGTTTATTTGCTTATTAATCTTCTTCATTTGTGTTAGAATGTTTGATTTTTGTCATCTTGGCCAAATCCTAAAAATTAGGAATTCTTTTTGTAACTTATTATTATCACTGCTAAATTGAGGATGGGGTATAACTGAAATACTGTTGTGGCTGATAGGTTATTAGAAAATAGCAAAAATGGTTCACTAATAACCCGTATAATCCTGTAGCTGGAATGGGAAGTGTTGGGGATTATTTATTTTTGCTTATTTACTTTGCCAAATAATTCAGTTTCATTGCTTTGGAAATGATGTTTGGTTGTATTGTTTTTAATTGGTCAGTGTGGAAGTTCTCTACATCCTTTTCCTCTCTCCCTCTCCTCTCCCCCACCCAGCCTACCCCACCAAATTTGCAATTGGGACTTCTAATCAGTGCCTATTAATAATACATCTTTAATATAAGGATAATTTGCTTTTTAAAAATCACCATTTTTAGTCTTCCTAATAAGTCACAGAAATGAAGGTTTCTATTTAAAACTTTTTATTAATTTTTTTTTTCTGGTGAGGCAACTGGGATTAGGTGACTTGCCCAGAGTCACACAGCTAGTGAATGTTATAAGTCTGAGGCTGGATTTGAACTCCAGGGCTGGTGCTCTATCCACTGCGTCACCTAGCTGCCCCCTTTTTATCAATTTTTTAAAAAATATTTTCCTATTTAAAAAAAGAGAATAGAGGATCACAGGAAATGAAGCAAAAAGGCTTCCCCCCTATATATTTATTTAATTATGCATTTATTTTGGGGTCAGTGAACATTTAAGTTTGAAGTGGTGATCAATAAGTCTACATATATAAAAATATATAAGGTGATATTTCTATGAAGGATAAAAACTCCTACTTTAAAAAATGAAGAATAAAAATGGATCAAGTTTACATATTTCATACACCTATGAACGTTATTATGGATTTCACTTCTTTAAGGAAAGTCTTTACATTTGAGCATCTATTTCCTAACCATGCCCTGTAAATTATAGGCTTTTGACTGCCAGTTGATACTTTTTACCCTCTAAGCAAGATTTCAATAATCACTGACTGAAAGTCGGCACTCTTCATTGATTCTCCAATAATAAATGTGCAGTCTTCAGAAATGTTGACTGACGAACCCTGTGAGCTCCTCATTGATAACCCAGTCTTAGGTCTCAATTTCCTCACAGATAATCAGTCCTCTAATATCTGTATAATTGACTGAAATTGGGGCTTTGAAGCTTGAAGTCAGTGGAAAAGAATTCTAAGTTATTTTTGTTGTTCTCTAATCCTGGAAAGGACAAGGGCTGCTGCCCTCAGCTTTCGCAGGCATGATGGGTTGTCCTCAGCTTTTTCCTCTGGGAGCATTTGCAGAACCTTCCTGGTCCTTGAGAGATCCTGCCATCAGCTTTTAGTTCCGTTACCAGTTCATTTATTTATTTTTCTATTCTGTCATCCTCCTGGCTCTATCTTTTGTTACTGGGAAGTGATGTGGCATAGTGGTTGGAGTTTTGGATTTGAAATTAGGAAGATCTGGGTTCAAATTTTGCTTCAGTCATTTACTAGCTGCAGCACCCTGGGCAAGTCATTTAATCTCTCTTTGTTTCAGTTTTCTCAATTGTAAAATGAAGATAATAAGAGTGGTTGTGAGGAACAAATGAAATAACACATGCAAAGCATTTTCTAACCTTAAATTCCTATGTAAATGCCAGCCATTATTATTATTGTCAACTTTTGAGAATGCAATCACTAATTAAAACATAATAAGGCTAAAATACGAAGAAATCTCAATATGGCAAGTAACCTACAGAATTGTAGGTTTACACACATATGTTTATATAATATGTTGCATCTATCATTTTCTCTATTATATATATATATACATATATATATACACACACACACATATACATACATATGCATCATATATGTATTTGTTTTTCTATCTTCTTCCTAGATCAC